TAACCTAACCCTTAACCTAAACCTAACCCTAACCCTTAACCTAAACCTAAACCTAACCCTTACCTTAACTTGAATCGGCTTGCTTTCAAAGCGCTTTTTAAAGCGCCCTTTTTTCTCCGTTGTTGCGCTGCTGATGACGTCAGCGACGCGCTTTAATCGGGCGCGCTTCACTGGACCGCGGTTTTGTCATGCCACGCTTCCGCTGCCTGCCGGCTGCCTGCAATTCGGCAGTTTGAATCTCACCAGGCTCAAGGTTGGACTCACCCTTCCATCCTTCCGAGGGAGGTCAAATGAGGACCCAGATTATTGGGGGCAGGAGGCTGACCCTGTAAACTGTTTAGAGAGGGCTGTAAAGCACTGTGAAGCGGTATGTAAGTCTCAGTGCTAGTGGGATTGCTATTATTACTATTATATCTTTATTAAGTTCCAGAGTCAAATGTTAAAATGCAACATAAAAGGAAGCAGCGAAACAAATTTAAAAAAATGGCCCAAAAAATACATCAAGCAAATTAGTTTGATATAAATATTTTTGAGCACATCAGTTTTTTGAAGTTGGATTTCTAAGCACCGACGGTTACTCTTACAGGCTGGGTAATTTTACATCAGAGAATGAGCAACGATTCGGGCTTGCCTCCTCCACCTTACCTAACCTTTGCCTTTTGTTTTTGTTGATTTGCAGTTTCTCCCTCCCCGTCTCCTCCCCAGAAGACGCTGCCTTTGAAAAAAACTCTTCCCACCCAGCCTTCAGAGGAGGCAGCAGCCAACGGGTCCTTCCAGCAACTCCTACAGGGTACCGTCTTCGTGCTGAGCGGCTTCCAGAACCCCTTCCGCTCTGAATTGAGGGACAAGGCCTTGGAGATGGGGGCCAAGTACCGTCCAGACTGGACCCCTGACAGCACTCACCTCATGTAGGTGTCTGGTACACAGTGGATCTACCTTCCTAAAACGTGTGGTTCCCCCCCCTCTTCTCATTCCCTAAAGGTTAAGGCATTCCAACCTCGAATGCTCTTGTTCTGACCTAAGCTTCCCCAAACCGCGAAGCAGACCCCTTGTCCCAACAAAAAACCCCTTTTAAAATTAAGTTACTGTGAATTCTGCTCATTCACATCCAGCAAAGTCTTTCAAGGGTGAATTTACAGCCACAGACCTTATCTGGCTTGGAGAGCTGCCAGGCCGATATCTGCAAAACTTGGCAAGGAGTCTCGGAGAGTCACGAACCAATTAAATGAACTAATTGTCTCCTGCAAACTCCACTCCCCTTTCGTTCCTCTTTTATTTTTGCTGGGAGGGGCTGCTCATCAACCACCTGTGGCTTTGCTTCCAAGTCAACCCCTGTTCTTTAGCTGTTCCCTTCATCTGGCAATTCTGTG